ATCTTTGGGGACGATATCTTTTGGGGGTAGTGATTGGAAAGGGGCACAAAGGGGGCTTTTGGGTGCTGGTGGCATCCTATTTTTTCACCCGGGTGGTGGTCACACTGGTGTTTGTGATATTATATAAAGCCATATACGTTTTCGTTCTTTGTACTTTTCCGTGTGTGTGTACAACTATAAGGGAGAAGGGAGTAAAAAGGAGAGAAAGAAGAAAGGAAGGTCTGCACAAGGTCAATTACAGTAGAAAGAGAAATTCCTCTTCATTCTAAAAGGCTCAGGTTTTCCCCCACTTAGCCTCTCTGAAATCAGGATGCACCCCGCCGTCGGTGGCATCTCCGATGTGATGAAACAGGGTTGTTTCAGGGACCCCCACCCCCACCATCCTGACTGTCTCTGTTCACTTGGCATCTGACCCTCCTAGAGCAAGGCCACGCCCACAGAACTGGGGCTGCCACAGAGCATGCGCCCAAGGTTGGTCAGGAAGGAGAAGGGAAGAGGGCTGTGGTGGACACCAGTGCGGTGCCAGTCATGGCAGGAAAGGGGGGATGGAAAACCGGCTCCAAGCCCTGCTTCACTGACAGCACAAGGCCACTGGCACCGGCAGTCTCCCACTTCCTGTGTGATGTCCCTCGGTGACTGGCCGGCCTCACGCTTATGTGCCCGGGCTAGGAGGTGGAAGGACAGTCTCGGGGTGCAAGAAGTGGTCAGGGACCTATGAACCATCCCTGGCCACACTTCTTTCTGGCCCAGAACCCCAGGAGGAACTCACTCGTCCAACCGAAAGGTGCCTTTAGCTTCAATTTAGGCCAGATGAGACCTGAGTTAGGAGGCTGTAAAGCGAGGTATCAGAGAGAGGCGGGAAAGAGTGTAGGTCAGATTTCAGAAGGACTTCCTGACGGCAGCTGTAGCGCCATGAAACAGCTCCTCTGAGTAAATGCTGCAGTTCCCTTCCCTGGAGACTCAACAGTTGACTCCGTGCTGTCTGGGGGGGTCTCGCTACATGGTACGGATTGAGTCCCTGGAGTGCACGTGCTCTACCTGCATTATCTCATTAGATCAGCCCCCAAGTCCAAGAGGGACGCACTCTTTTGTTAATTCCACGTTAAACCAAGGAAGCTAATGATGGAAAACCTAGAACAAGTTGCCAAACTCACATAGCTGGTAAGTGCTGGGTGCAGGAGTTGACCTCTCCAAAGGCCAAGCTCCTTTCCACCAGGCAGCTCGGCCTAATTGTGCAAGCCTCCATGCCGGCCCTGAGAAGGATCTGTCATTTTCTGGTCCGTTCTGTATCTCTTTTTCAAGGAAGGATTATGTACTTCCAGAAAGCGGCTGCCACTTCCCTCTCCAGCTCCAAAGGAGTTCTTCCAAATAACGATCAGAGAACAGCTACTATGGCTTGATGGCTTACCACGATCTCATCTGATTCCTCTTCCCGTCCTTGGCCCCGAGCCTTTCCAATTGTGCTAAAAGTAGCACTGACCAAATCGAGGTCTGTCCAGGGCTCAGGACTATTTTGACTCTGTCCTCAGGAATCATCTGGTCTGAGGCGTGTCCGAGCTGGACTGCTCCCATGAGAACTCAGATGCGGAGCCAGGAATGTTCTGGCCGGCACACCTGTCCCCAGAGCTGAGCCAAAGCTGCCACTCACCCCATGGCCTCCACCACGTGCCTCCTGAGATACTGGTTCCAGGAGGGTTGGGTGGTGGCACCTGCAATGTGGGAGGATGAGAGGTTTATATCTTTATCCATAAGAGAACAGCCAGCCAGTTTCCGTGACACTGCCTCTTACCCTCTCCATTACACGGGAGCATGTTAATCTATGGATTTATGACATCCACTCAGCACAGAGGCCTGCACCAGGAACCTCCTTAGAGACAGCAAACATTATCCTTCCATGAGAGGCTGAAGGATTTCCTGCCCTGGAGGTCTTTAATAGTGGAAGAGATTTGCATCCGACTGGCTTAAATGTAAATCCTGGTGCAAGTCCCCTGCCTGAAATGCCGACCCCCTCCTTTGCTAGAATGGCTTGGCCATTCTTCAAAGTCCAACTGAAGTCTCACCTCCCTCAGGATGTCCTCCCTGACCAGCCCAGCCCACCCTTCTCTTACCACTCAATGGGAACCAACACACTGCCCTTTAATAGAGGTTTCTTCCCCCTGTGCCTGTAGCTTTTCCCTCTACGCTGTGAGCTCTTACAGCCAGGTACCTTTCACTGCCAGTACCCAAGATGCTGGAGCCCCCCACCACTGATGGGCAGATGAACCGGCCCAGCTGGCAGGAACAGCCTTGCTCTGCTCAGGAACCAAGTTGGCCATCTCCTTCTTGTGTTGGTTCACTCCTGTGTTCCATACACAGACACCAAACATCTACTCTGCCTGTTACCGGGCTGGACAGTGGAGATACATTGTCTGATAAGACCAGGTTCCTGCCTGAGAACAACTCTCGGTATCTTAGGGAGACATATGACCATATGGCGGGCTATATACCCTCTAGATGGAATATGCCCACTATGTGGGAAGTTGTTATTGAATTCAACAATATTCGATAATATAGTTATTCAAACAGCGGTGACGATCTCTGCCCCGGGAAGGTGGGAAATGCCTCACAGAGAATCTGATCTGTGACAGGTCTTCCCAGAAGCTCAGGAACACACACAGTGGGAAAGTGGGAGAAGGAGCTTTGCAGTGGAGGGAACAGCACGTGCAAGGGCAAGAAGGCAGGAAAGGGCCTGGCGCAGCCTGGGAAGGCCGGAAAGATGCCGTAGTTTGCTGTGTTCTCAGTCCACCTGGCCGTGGACAGGGAGGCCGCTTGGCTCCTTATGATGAGTAGGGGAATTGGAACTCCACGGGGCAGGAAAGTAGGGCTTGGGCCCTGCCCCTTCCTCAGAAGATGTCAGAAGCATAGAGCCCCTGCTCCCCTACCCCTGAGGCCTGCAGTCTCTCCTCCCACCTCCCTCTGTTCCTTCCCAGGTAGGATGAACTTGGCTCCTGTGACGCTGATGTGTTGTCCGCTTGTTAGAATCTTAATGTTGTATGAATCACAAGGCACGGCTGCCCTGGCATGGCGGTCAGGGTCAGAGGTGTGAATTACAACAACACGTGACCCTCACTGCTTCAGTCAGGGGGTGCTGAGGCCAACTGCTTTCCTCTGTCGCTGATAATGAGAGCGCTTCCAAGGTTGTTGTTCGCACACTCATTCCTTAGACAGCTTTAAGCACCTTGCCAACACCATCCCATAATACTAGTGTGAAGAGCCACCTCCGGTAGAGCACTTGACGAGTATCATTCCGTTTAATCGTTAGATGACTTTATGATTGGGGGGTTAAGGGACATGCCTAAGAACTCATAGCAGGTCGTGACAGAGCCAGACTCTGAGTCCCAGCCTCTGGGACTCCAGAAAGCCCAAGCACCACTTTCTAACGCCACCCTGATCGTGAAAAATGGTCCTGGCTTACGGAGGCTGGACAGAGCCCCCCCCCCCCCCCCCCCCCCCCCCCCCCCCCCGCCAACCCCAGATCTCCCTTCACTTCAGGACAAAGTTCTGACCCGCCCAGGCAGTCATCACACATTTACTGCATGCCTACTGGGTACGGGGTGTGGTGCGGGGACCTGGGAAAGACACAAAGACCCAGAGACCCAGTTACCATGTGGCTCCCCACCCATTAAGTGGGACGTAGAAGGACCCCTATTCCACCACCACCCCAAACTTTCCCATTCTTAATGTGACCTGTGCAGCCTTCCCATCACTCCTTCGAACCTCCTATGGTGCCCATTACCCAAACCACCGCACCTATTGCTTTGTCTCTGCTTTCTTTCCCTCAGCAGTCATTTGCATGTCATTTGCACGTGGAAGGCACTGGGGATACATTAATAAGACAAATTAATAAGACATGGTCTCTGCCTTCATGAAGCACAATCCAAGAGAGGGAAACCAACAGGTAAACAGCACAGGGACTGACATGTGCCGGGACACCACTTTCTTACTCCCACAAAGACACAGACCCAGTCTTACAAAGTGGCAGCATGAAGTGAGGGCAAGAAGACTGGAACAAAATGAAAAGAACTGAGCTCCAGGCTGGTGCCACCATTGGGGGAACATTGGAGAAGTCGCTCAGTTTCTCCGTCTATCAAGTGGGAATAACAATACTTGACCTTATAAAATTTTAGTGATATGCTCCATTAAATGAAATTTAGTGCATGAAAACAGTTGACAGGTTACCAAGTATTACTCAACTAGAGTTTTCATTATATTTATCTTCTGTCTCCTGGGATGCCTGCATAAATCTGGGCACACAGTAGATATTCAGTAAATACCAGTTAATTTAAAGTGAACTGATGGGGCACCTGGGTGACTCAGTCAGTTAAGCATCCGACTTCAGCTCAGGTCATGATCTCACAGCTCATGAGTTCGAGACCTGTGTTGGACTCTATGCTGACAGCTCAGAGCCTGGAGCCTGCTCCAGATTCTGTGTCTCCCTTTTTCTCTGCCCCTCCCCCACTTGCACTCTGTGTGTGTCAAAAATAAATAAACATTTTAAAATAATAAATTAAAAAATAAATAAATAAAAATAAATTCAATTGGTTCATACACCCATTTACCACCTTCTGATAGTCCTATACGCCGTTGTCAATCCTAACACTAATAATGCTTGACCTGCCTGCTGGGGGTTGGCCGTGAAGACCAAGTCAGGATATGAAAGTGCCTTGGAAGCTATCAATATTGAACTGTACTGACTCTTGGGGAACCAATTGGTCCGCCACCCTGTGGGGGAGCTGGACTGAGGCCAGGTGGCCCTGAATGTGGAGCCACAGTCAGGGGACAGCCTCTCCCAAGCCTTAGTCCCACTGCTTTTGGGAAACAAACATTGCACTTGTCCCAGTTTGGGCTTCCAAACCGCTGAGCTGCCTGGACCAGGGTAGTGCTTGTGATGTAGGCATGATCTCTATGGGGTCGGGACCACCAGGTGCCCCGCCACATTAGCCCTTTACTTCTCATTTCAGCACCCCTACCCCACGGAGGATGAGAAGAGGCAGATCGCAGCCCAGACAAACCTCACGCTCCTGCAAGTAAATAACTGGTGAGTTATCACCTACCCAGAGGCTCTCAGATCCGGGGCCACTTGCTTGGCAGGGGAATGCACAGCAAGGAAAAGAGACAGCTCAGCACAGCCCAGCTACCACAGCGGTCCTCCCAGTTGGCCTAGAAGCGGAAAGCGAGGGTCAACCCAACCGCCTGGAGCTTCATCTGCGGCTTCTCAGCGCCCTCTGCTGGGAGATTGTGTCAGGAACATCACTGGAGGCTTCTTGCTAAAAATAGAAAACCCTGCCCCGCCTATAGTACAGAGGCACACAGGAATGCAGGCATCCAAAGCCTGGAGGAGCTGCCGGTGGTCATCTGGTCTACCCACCAACTATGTAAACTGAAAAACTACAACATTCTACAAAGCTGGGAGTGGGAAGGGGGAGGGACAGTTGACTGTGGACCTCATGGGGATCTGTTTTCCCCTTCTCTGTGTCTAGCTGGGCTGTCATGGAAATCTCAGACAGCGAGGTCTGGTTGGATGGGAGTAGACCCAAGAGTTGGGCCCCCTGATCTGATCCCTGAGCCCTCTGGAGAGAAGTCAGAGTTTAGTGCTTCTGACTAAGGGGCCTCTTACTTCCTCTGTTCCATCCTGACCAGTCCGGAGTAGAGACTTCTGACCCTCCTCATGCATTCCTCCCAAGCTGCTTTGTGGTTACCAAGCTCCAGGTGATCCCGCGAGCCTTGCAGTGCCCAGGGGTCTTCTCTCGGCTGGGCTTTCACACCCTAGATCAGACCCCAGTCTTCCATACGGTGGATCAGCAGCTGAAAGTCCGGGAGCAGCTCTACACTCCCTGTATATGTGCACGTATGCCCACATGTGTGTGCGCGCGCACACACACACACACACACACACCACAATTCAGGGGTGACTAACCAGGTCTCTACCTTTACCCCTGGGCAGGTTCATCAATGCCCGGAGGCGCATCCTGCAGCCCATGCTTGATGCCAGCAACCCAGACCCTGCCCCGAAAGCCAAGAAGATCAAATCACAGCACCGGCCCACCCAAAGATTCTGGCCCAACTCCATTGCTGCAGGGGTGCTGCAGCAGCAGGGCGGTGCGCCAGGGACAAACCCCGATGGTGAGACCGGGGGATGAGTGTGCTCTAGACCGGGGCTGGCGGGCGGGCCTCCTGGACACACAAGGGCTGAACATCTACTTGCCTGAGCAGCACTGGTGGCTCTGTCACCATAATGAGCCCCACCCGCTCTCCATCAAAGAATGTGTGTAAGCCTGAGAGAAGGGAATGTTTTTGCACATGTCTTAACAAGCCGCAAGCAACCTCACAAAGATGAGTGGGAGGCCATGGTCATCAGAGTCCGTGACTGCTCAGCAGAGCCCCTTCCTCCCTCCCACGCCCTCCCGAAAGTTCCTTAGCGCCGATGAGTGTCTGCACGGCTCCCCAAGAGCTCGGGCCATCTATAAATACTGAAGCAGGCAGCTGGCTCGTGAACGGAGGCCAGGAAGAGCTTTGTTTTCCCAGCTTCTCCATCACACCCTCCATATACACTTTTCTAATTGCCGGTCGCCTGGTGCACAATGAATAATTCAGTAAGCCAGACATTTTATAGCTTGGCACGTGAAGACAGCTCTGTGTGGGAAGTGAAGTGGAAGTGTGCGTGTGCACGTACATACCTTCGTGTGCATCTATAGGGTTGTGTTCAGGTTCCCGTGCGATGGGCAATTGCCACGGGAGGCGTAGAGGAAAGAAGCAGATTTTGAGCTAGACTGACCAAGGAGAGAATCCCAACTCCTGGCTGACTGGCACCTTGAGCTAATAACCGTCTGAGACTCGGTTTCCTCCTCTGTCGAATGGAGGTAATAACACCCACAGTGCAGAACTGTTAGAAAGTCAAGGTATTTAACGTACTTACATAGAAGATGCTCAGTAAATGGAAACTAGGAGCGCCTAGGGATGCTAAGGATGAGGCGGGGAGTGGCCAACAAGTGCACGGGCAGGGGCCGTCATACCTGGGAATTGTCCACCACCCCCTGAGCCAGTCCACACCCCACTCTACCCAACACTGAGATTCCTGGGCCTGACCCTTGCCTTCTTGTCTCACGTAGGTTCCATTAACTTGGACAACCTGCAGTCCCTGTCCTCAGACAATGCCACCATGGCCATGCAGCAGGCTATGATGGCCGCACACGAGGACTCATTGGATGGGACAGAAGAAGAGGATGAGGATGAGATGGAAGAGGAGGAGGAAGAGGAGCTGGAGGAGGAGGCCGACGAGCTTCAGACGACAAATGTCAGCGACCTGGGCTTGGAACACAGTGACTCCCTGGAGTAGTTGGCAGCCCAGCTGGCACTGGTCACCGAGCAGGAGAGGAGTGTCGTCAGGAGGGCTTCAGGGTGGGGGGGAGGGGGGCACGGGCAGGCAGCACCGAGGAAGTTGGGCCCTAGCTTCCCCAGATCAGTAGCTTGAAGAAATGCAGAGCAGATGCCTGCTCCTTCCCAAACCACCAAGCTTCAATGAGTACCCCAGCCCCACTTCCCTAGAACTGCAGAGGACTCCGTTTGCGGGGCCGGTCAAGCAGCCCATACGGAAAGGCGGGAGTGAGAGCTGGACTCACCAAATCCCTGAGGACAGATGGCACCCATGGCCCCCCCACTGAAGGACTTGAGTCGTTTACAAGCCCTGCACTGTGAGGCAGATCGGTGCTGTTCAACAGAATGAGCCTTGCCAGGGACACAGAAGGAAAGGGAGAGTCAAGGGCATCTGGATTCCACCCCCGGAAGGTTCTCAGCTCCTCTGAGAGACATTCAAGGGCAGGAGGAGCCCAGACGCATCACCAGTGGCTAGCAGAGTGGGAGGCCCTGAGGTCTGCCGACCACAGCTCCCTGGGGCTCCCGCTCATTCCTCCAAGGACCTGTCTCAGGCACGGGCAATCACGGACTTGGGAGAGAGGGTAGGAGCCACCACAGCCACCTTCTCTCTCTCTCTCTCTCTCTCTCCCCAAAATGGATGGTCAGCTGGCAGGCTCAGATCGTAGGGGGTTGAGCGGAATCCCTTCCCCTGGGTTGGCTCCAGGACCCAAGGAGATGGCACAACCTGAGCTAGGAGCCATATCAAGGTGACTCTGGGGACCACAGCCATCCCCAGGTGGTCACAGAGCTCAGCTCCCATAACAACAGGACAGTGGTGTCTTATCCCAGGTGTTCCAGCCCTCAGCCCCCCATGGCTGTTGCCCTGCTCCCAGGCTGGCCTCACCAGCCCCATTCTCTCTTCTTCATTCTTCAGAGAAGGCAGAAGAAACATTGGAAAGAAGCATCCAGTCCAATGGGAAGCCAGGGGTTGGCGAAGGTGCTACATCCCTCTTCCCATCAATATCCAAAGTGTGGGCCAGGGCCCAGAGCCAGGCGGTGCCCCACCCCACACATCTCGCTGATCTAGCCACCACCACGACGCACAGCGCTGGAGGCACCGGGGCTCCCTCGAGGAGGAGGCTTTCTACCACCTGCCCTAACTCACACCCTCCCGCCCCCAACTTCCGGGCCCCCATGATTGGCACCCCTCCTCCCCTCCTGCTCCACCCCTTGGCTGTGAATGATGGGACTGGTCACACGTGTGTTTTCCATTGGATTTAATTTAATGGACTTGCAGTTTCATTTGTAAATTGTGCGTTGGCCATCTCCTTCAGTGGCAGGATGCGAGTGGCTACCTGGCTCCACTTGAGGGGACCCCTCAGGGCCCTCTGGGGCTTCCCCTCCCCCTCCTGGTTGGGGTGGAGCAAAAGGATGGTCGCTTTCCTGAGGTCTCCCTGAGATGAATGTATTTCTCCCCCAAAAGAGCTGATATTTAATGTTTTAATAGGGATTTTTGAAAAACAAATAACCTTATTTATAATCTGGGTGATCCAATCATTTTTTACTCCCTTTTGATGCCATAGGTAGAGGAAAGTCTAGCTTTTTTGGCGTGAGACTTTTGCAATGTGCAGTGGGATAAAATACATTTCCTTTTCTTCATTTTTCTTGTTCTCTCTCTCTCTTATTCTCTCTCTCTCTCTCTCTCTCTCTCACACACACACACACACACACACCCTTTCACCTACCACTTTGGACAGCGACCTGCCCCGCACAGGCACACCCGCACACATGTGCCCACACATCCTCCTCCAGCCCCTCCACCTGCCTAATGTTATGCAACCTCCTTCTGATGTATCCACCAAACCAGTACTGAATGTGGCCGAGAAGTTTTCAGTAAATCTTATTACCTACCATGATTCTGGTGCACGGTTCTTTTTCTGTGGTTAGCGGTTACTGGGACCCTGGACCGGAAAATATTTGGAGCCTCAGCCTACCTCTTGTTGAACCGACTACCCATGGAAGGGAACAAGGTAGAAGGCTCTCTGGGTGGCCTCAGTTTACCTTTCTGGGCCCGAAGACAGCCACATTTGGCACACGCTGTCTACGCGTCTGGCTGAAAGACAAAGAGATTAGGGAGAGACAGGAGGAAGCTCTGCGCTGCCCTCTCCTGGCAGTTCTCCCCCATAGCAGTGGAGCGCTCAGACTGTGGTCTCTTCCACCACCCTCCAAGGCCTCTGCTCTTCCCAGCTGCATCCTAGGCTCTGAGGATTTTCATCCTCGAAGCTGGTGGCCCCAGTGCCCCTCCCCCAGCCCTCACATGCCCATCCGGGTCCCAGGAATCGGAAAGGAGAGGAAGTCTTGACAGCCGCATTTAATCCTAGAGCTGCGCCCAGAGGGGAGCCTGCCCTCTGAACCCCAGGGCTCAGCACTGTATTCCCTGGGGCAAGTGGAAATTCAGGGACAGCTTCGCCCCCTAAGCAAGCAAGCTTTCTTACTTTCAGTCCCAAGGTTTTCTTATCTGGGCACTGTTGGTGAGATCGAAGTCCAAGGCATCGGTTTAGAAGCAGGAGTGAGGAGTTCCTTGCTCGCTCTCGCAAAGGCTGGGACACCCTCCCAGCCAGGCTGAAGGTGCGGAAGGGAGTGCTTACACAGGCAAAATGGCTCTGCACCCACCGCAGCTCTGAGGACCGCTCCCTGGGTCACCTCTCTCACGGAGCCCAGGCCTCCAGTCAGACCTGGAGAGTCTGCAGAGACCCCGCCTCTAGGCAGCGAGAAAGTCTCAAGATCTGCGAGAAGACGCCACTTAGAGCCTCACCTCCCAGAGCCAAGAAGCCAGCCCGCTTTCAAAGAAGTGGTTTCCAAGGAAGAACATTGTTAAAAGATGCGCTATCAAATAAAAAAAACCCAAGGCCAGATTAGTCTAGGATGAACTGCATAATCTGCTGTTGGAGATCGGTAAGGCACATTACGAATAAAGGCTCAGCAGAGTCCTGCGGGAAAGAAACCTGTTTATCTTGCCCCCCAGATTTATTTCCCCTTTTTTTGCCCCAGTAATATCTATTCGAGTTATACTCGGATCGCCCAAAACACACTTTAGGGAACACTATTCTCAGAAATTACAGAGTAGTCTGTCCAGCCTCTCACGCCCCTTCCTAAGTATTTCTATCAAGTTCTGCTGGTTTTTCCACCATGCCGCCAATGAAAAGAGGGGTTCCTAAATCATTTGAGACATGGCTGGGGGTGTTATGAGGAGGCAGCAAATTCTCTCTCCGTGTACGACCCAAATCCTATCCATCCCAGGGACAAGATGTGCCACAATCCCTGTGGAAGGAAGGAAAATGGGAAAATGCAGGATTGGACTGGCATGCTGGCCCCTACACCAGCAGGGCAGACCTTTTGGGTTGGAAGATTCCTGCTCAGGGCAGCTGATGGCCAGAGCTACACTGCCTTGACCAAGAGACCCCTCTGCTGCCTTGACCTGGGCCAGATGAGGGCATTGGCACTATCACACCGCAGCCTGCCCAGACTCACTCATTCATCCAATGTATATTACTGAGCCCCAACTCAATCTCAGGCGGTTTCAGGTGTGGAGGGTACAGCTGTGATCAGCAAAGTTCTTGCCTTCAGGGAGTTTCCATTCTAGCAGAAACTTGAGACCGAATGTGTGCTGCTAACGTCCCCTTAATGGTGAAAATATGAGCTCATCCCAGGACGGTGCCCTCAAAGGTTAACATTCAGAATTGCAAACAAGACCGTCAGGTCAGACGTGGCCTTCCGGTCAAATTCAGCTCCCAGACACGTTTTGTTTGGACCATATATTGTTTCTAGGCACTTTTGTGCCAACGTTGAAAAGATGGACAATTGCAGCTCAGGACCTGTATTCCTACAAGGCCACAACAGGGTGTAATTGAACCATCGCCTCCCCTTATGATATGCTCTCCAGGTTATCACAACACTGGCCATGCACGTGGTCTCCCCAGCACTGGCACTAAGTGCCACTTGCCACTTATCCAGCTGTCACTGTTTGGTTGGCTCACTGGCTAGTTATGCTTCCCCTACCCTGTCTTTTAATTTTTTTTTCCTTTTTTTTGACTTTCCTTCAATATTTGAGTGCTTGCTTTTAAGAAGGGAACTATTTCGAGGCACCCGGAAGTCTCAGTTGATTAAGCATCAGACCCTTGGTTTCCGCTTAGGTCATGATCTCACAGTTCGTGGGATCACAGTTGGTCGGCTCTGTGCGCTGATGGAGCAGAGCCTGCTTGGGATTCTGTCTCCCTCTCTCTGTCTCTTCTCTACTCTCTCTCTCTCTAAAAGAAAATAAATAAACATTTAAAAAAAAAAACCCTTAAAACAAAGGCGGGGGAGGGGGGGGAACTATTTCTCTATACCCACTGCTCCATCAAGCATGAGAAAACAAGAGTCCGAGAGGCTCTGCCTTTGAAAAAACAAAATCAGAGAAAAAGTATCTGTGGAAGTGGAGATACGCCTACCTTTAATTGCAAAGTGTCCCTGTGTCCTACATCCAGACATCTTCATTCATATTACCTGCCTACCTGACCTCTACAGGCAAACATTAACCTCGAGGCATAAAACCCCCCAGGGTTACTCATTATATATGCAGATTCGGTCCCAGGACCAACTTTTTCCCAGATTCCAAGGCAAGAGGTCTGAGGACTTTGAAAAACACTGCTCTCAGAAAACACTTTTCTGTTGCCGTTTAGAAATTACTTGTTTATCACTGCTCCCTTAACTTCCTCTTGCTATTTAGACTACAAGACCTTGATTCAGCCAGTAGGATTCACAGGTGCCTACTCTGTCCTCAGACGGGAGACAGAAGATAATTCCACTTTGCACAGCATCGCAGGGGCAAAGGATCACCAAGGACTGGCAGACAATGTCGATTGTGTCAGACTCCATGCATTTCCACTTTGGCATCTTATTTCCATCCCACGGATAAGGCAGATTTTATGATGCCACTTTCAA